GCCATTTTAATATTTATCCTGTTTGGAAAACAGCTAAACTACGTTCAAACTACGAGCAACAGACTACAAGTCATTTTCAATGGAAGCTGGTGACATGAAGCTACAAACTGATGCCCAACAGTTGTGGCTGTGGACAGGAATGACGCGCTACAAATCAAAGCTGAGCTGAACTCCACTTTTTTTCAGCGCTCCCATGACGCGGTGAAGCATCAACCAATCATGTGTTTTGATTCTAGCTGTGGTGTTGTGTTATTTAGCAGTCGGCTGGCGCTATGCTAGCTTTATAAATATTACTGCAAAGTGATGAAATGTGATGTAAAAAAATAGGGCTCAGACAATGATCAAAAGTGTGGATATTTTTTGGCCAAATACAAACTTTAGATGGCGCTCGGTCAAGTTGCTTTATGGCAATTAGCAGACACACACAATCCTGTCACGATGTAACTACATCAAAAAGCGTTTGAGCAGCACTTTGATAGCAACTAGGCGATAATGTAGCTGGTCATGCTGTTGCTGTGTTGCTCATAGTGTGAACAGCGATGCATTCGCGAAGCGGTTGCAAAGCGGTCCACAAGCGTAGCAGCAGCACACGTGTATTCACACCAAAACTGAACAGACACGTCACGCAGCAGCCACTGCTGTCCCGTCAAAATACAAACCACACCTTAACAGTTGGTGGCGGTAGTGCACCATGTTTGCAAATCTCCAATAAACCCCAAAGAAGAAGAAGTGAGTTTGGACCGAAAGCCCAGGTTGGACAGGTTTGTGTGCCAGTGATTATTCCAACGCTTGGAGAATTAGTAGAACTATTAGAAGTAGTCTTTGTCTGCTTTGTATTACTAGCCTTAGCACAAAAAGCCCATTTGCCTCTGTGTCTACGGTGGCCGAGAGAGGTCACAAAACACGCAAACACGTGTTTCTTTGGTGAATACAGAGACCATTCGCTGTATTCTCGACTCGAGCAGCGAGCAGAACGGATGCGGCGTGAATGCTCTAACCTGTTAACATGCTCGTCGAAATGAAGATGCAATTCTTGTATGTTGGCATAGGTACAACCACTAGATGGCAGAGTCAGAAGTTTCTAACTACAACAAATGGTGATGCTTGGAGGAGGTCGTGGAAATTCTTTCAACAGAGGCAGTGTCGTAGACTGTGGTGTCTGTGAGGCCATTATATGCATTTAGTGCCTTTCGCTATATTATTGATTCTTTCTGTTCTGCCATTTTTTCAATGTCTTTGTTGTGTCCTATGATTGTGAATTCCTTGAACTTCACCCCCAAACTTTTCAGTGGTACTGCTCCATTTCATTTGTATTTGTATGCTTTCAGAAAACATGCACAAATTCGGATGAAGCAAATGGAACTATGTAATGTTAAGCATAAATGGACAGGTGGCAATGGAGACTTTTGGAAATGATGACGTATACACCCACAGTCATTCCCTATGGGTCTTATCAGTCACGGCAGGTCAAACCAAAACTTTATCACTTGGTCTACATACCTTCTGTGATTTTAACCTTCTTGTATGTGTACCCCTTTGCTATTGCCATGGCTTCCTCTGGTGATGGATAAAGATTCCAGCTGGCACCACTCTAATATGTCGCTGTATTAGCTCTGTAGCTACTCCCAATCATTTTCCATTGCCTTGGCTGCCTTACACTTATGATACTTTCAAGCCTCTTCCCCACTGGACAAAAACCACCAACTTCCACTTGGCTTTTGCATTTAATGGGTAAGATTACAATCGACATTCACTCCCGGGTGAAATGACTCTGCAGTATTCATGATTATTTATTGGCTCTGGCTCTGATCGGCAGTGATGGAAAGACGACACCTGGGTGAACGTGCTAATTTTAGCCCCTTTGCCAGGAGGATCGGTCTCAAAAGACGGTCTGTCTTGGGTCTAGCAACACTCGAACATAGTTCAAAACAGTTGGACCTTGAAAGAGAGACTAAATATGTGAGATGTATAAAAAGAACTAACCACCGTAACATTTTCAGTGGCCTCCATGCGGCTTTTTGACGTTTACTAACTTGGTTTTCGTCCTGTCTGTGATGTTGAACGTGGCACTCCGGAATTTTTTTTCCAAAAAACAGAAAGGCATACTTGTCTGCTGAGTCATGTACATTGCTCTGGTCTACAGGGAATAGGAAAGCAGTCTATCGCCTATTTTTAATGGATTTTCCCACCTTTGAAAAAACCTGCATACATGTGCTAATTTGTGTGGAACCGTAACAGTTTCACCTCGTCATCAGTCCAAGCAAATAAATCTCTGGTCTTACTTTTCCCCATCCCCGTAGTATTTTATGTAACTAAGCAACCAACCACAGAGAAAACAATCTTCTTCCTGTTTATAGTGGCAGTGACATGTGTTTTCAATGCTTTATTATGTTGGTAGATTATTTCTGAAATGGAGCTAAACGCAATCGTTTTTGTTTTAAAACACCGTTTTTAAATTAAAACGTAATAGTGTGGATGTGGCCTTTGCTTGCACCCTCATCCACAACAGATAGACTCTCCCTTTCTCACTGAAGGACACTGTGACAGGACACATGGTCGCTATAATCCCTGAACTTTGCAGAGATGGCCTTCCTTCCCAATCGTACATTCAGTCAGAGACCTCCTACGCAGAAGACTGTGAAAGCACGGCCAGTTTACATGAGAGTTCGTCGAGTTCTGCGTTTTGAGAAAGACATCTCTGTTGCAAGTTTGCTGAAATAAACAGACCCGGCATCAAAGCTCCGTAGCTGTGCATAGATACTTGGAAACACATTTACAGTAACTGTTTCTGAGTAAAGGAATGCATTTGGCTCCCGCTGGAAACTCATCCAATGTCCTACTTCAAATAAAATGCACAATAACCATGAATTACACCGCATGATCTGATCCGTCTGACTTTGTCTCCAATCTCTCTACGTCTCTAACCCTCCACAGTGACGTCACCAATCCCCTATTTGGCGAATAAAAAGATGGGAATAATAAGGGGATTAGGATGAAGAAAGAAAGGAGCGATGCGGTGGACGTCAAGGTATGACGTATGGGTGTGCTAAAATATTGAAAAGGAGTTAGCGAGGACAAGTTTGAGGAAAAAATAGACTCGCAGATGACAGGAGGAGGACGGCTGAAGAGAAAAGGCAGATTGAATGGTGAGACTGAAAAAAGTGGTCGTCCATTCACTGCACGGGCCTCTTGGGTGTCACCATGAAGAAACTGACAGTGGAAGTATTTTCCCCAGCCACCCTAATTAGGCCTCATTACCATGTGACTGGGCTCGCAGCAAGACCATATGCTAATTGACTTAACAATTAACAGCACCAGTGCCTTAAGCCCCTCCCTCTGCTCCCCTTTCCTTCTTTCTCTTCCTCCTCCGATGCGGTCAGATGTGAAGGCATCCCAAACCTAAAAATGGCCACAGACCTCCGGTGTCATGTGTTCCGCTTCTCTGTGATGTCAATAAGCATCTTCTGTTACAGATGCAGTGATGGGATGAATGGGGGCGTTGCTCACAGGATCAGATTTGGTTAGAGAGTGTGATAGTGATCAGAGGAGCAGGAGAAACAGGGAACGGGCGAATGTGCGAGGGAGGAATTGGAGCAAGCCTTGTGCCTGGAGCGTGTGTGTGTGTGTGTGTGTGTGTGTGTGTGTTTGAGAGAGAGAGTAGGAGGGGTGGAAGCATGAACACAAATGCACATATGAAAGGAGAAGCAGAGAAGTTCCCATGTATGTGAAAATCCAGCTCATGCACTCAGCTGTTCCGTGTGTACATAAAGAGGCCGTGCGCACGCACACACACACACACACACACACACACACACACACAATCATCCAAACAAGGTACATATGGCATCAGCCCCGAGGAGATACTGTAGCATCCTCTTTTCCCATGAGGCAGCTAACTAACTCATGAAAGCACAGCCTGAGAATAAACAGCTCCACTCTGCTGCATATTGATTAATGATGGAAAACAGAACACTCCAAAATAGGCCCGGGAGCTTTCTGAGTACACAAATACTGCACTGACGGAGGCTCGAGGCTCACGTATCATCTATCTATTGACCAACAAAAAGTCAATCCATGCATTGACTTCCATTTCCATGCAAACTTCCTCAGTCTAATTGGACTCAAGTGGCCATTTAAGTGCAATTTCTTCCCAGAGTTAGACAACAAGCATTTTGTTTATGAGGCCAGCGTGGGAGGGACGTGTCTCCTAAAGGGGACACCCTTGGTTTTTAGCTGACCTAAGGAGCAGTTTAATGCAAACACACAGTTGGAGAATGCTCTTTTTTCTCTTCTTTTTTTCCCAGCTCACCCCCTCTTTTAACAATGGCCACATGGGAGGGTCCCTGGGGGGTTCCAGAAGAGTGTGTTTGTTTGAGAAGACCATTGTTACTTGTGTGTGTGTTTGTGTGTGTGTGTGTGTGTGATCCACATATAAGGAATGACATCTAACCTCTAAACAAAAGGATGAAGCAGTGATTGACACTCCTAAAATATCCAAATGCATTGTGGGGTGAAAATGGAGGTATGGCTACTAAAAGACACCAACGTCCTCATCCTCGTGAGAAAAAAATGTGCCACATCCAATCAGTCCTTAAATTTCACACGGGTCAAGGTCCTCCATTAGTTAAGCTTAACATGATTTAATCAAATGCCCTTAGAGGTCAAGGCCGTGTGTGCCAAGCCCTGTGTGTAAATGTACATGGACGTGTACACCGCTGCGTGCCCTTTCTGCTTCACACACCTATGCATTTGGTGCATCGACATCGCCTCTCTCCCCGGGCTGTCAGTGATGTAACTTCCACCTCAGTGGTAATGAGCCCCAAAACAGCCTTATTACAACACAACCTGAGAGATGCATTCAAATACACCGAGATCCCCCGTGCTGAATAGTCACTGTGTATATATATATATATAACGCACACGCATCCCCACAGTCACACTCCCCCTACCCTCATTCTGTTAATCAATACCCTATGGGCTACATGGTCGGCAGCACGTACCTTAATCGATGTAAACAAATCCGATCGAGGACGAAGGCAGATGCACAGTTGTCAGGTTGGATGGGAGACTGCGAGAGTAATAATGTCACATTTCGGAATGAGCTCCGCTCGCAGTGTTTGCGTATTCTCTCTCCATCCACATGGACTCGTACGCGATCAGCCCAGATGATTCCTCCTTCTCCGGCTGTGAAACCAGAGGGACCCGGTGATTCAGCCCGTGTCCGTTGTCCTCAGAGGCAGAATGGGCACGGACGGAAACGCACCGGGGTGTCAGGATTAAAATGAGGTTCTAGATCGTTTCCCCCTAAATCCTTTGTTCAGTGGTGCGCATCTTTGACTTTCACTCTGCACCAATGAAGGAGCAATCATCAAAAATTCATAAAACACACAACGAGTCGAAATCCTGTGATGCGCAGAGATGGGTCCCCCTCTTAAAATAAAAAAACCTGCCGGATCCCCCCTTCGTCTTCTTCTTCTCCTGCTACTGCGCTGAATGCCCGGGCTGCCGCTCACTGCTTCCCGCTGCACATCTCCCGACTGAATGCATCACCAAAACTGCGCTCCGCATAACGCGCGTACTGGTAATCCCTCTCCGCACACACACACACGCACACACGCAGCCTACACACAGACAAAGTGACGGCTCTCCAGAGCCGCCGCGGACTCCTCTCTGTCCTCCCTCCCTTTAACTGGTTTACTCTCCGATAAATTAATTGGTGCCTGACAGGGGGGCACCTTAATGCATCCTTTCTGGACGCACAGCGGGTCCCTCTCTCTTACACACACTCTCTCTCACACACACACACACCTCCTAAATATTATCTCAGTGTCACTGTCACGGGTTTTACGCACAGTTTGGACTCAGCTCCAAATTACGGTGCTGTTTTTGCCTGGTTACTGCGCTAAGTCACAGAAAATATGCCAATACACTGTCAAGTTAAACTGTTAAATATCAGTTTCCTGGTGTATCTTTCAGAATAAAGTTCATAGACTAGTTTCACACTAGTCTACTTTTTAAAAATAGAAATCAAAACGTTTTATTGTGAGTATTTTGTTATAATACAATCAGCTTTCACCCCACAATAGTAAATGGACTGCATTTATGTAGTCATCCAAAATAATTTGCAGACACACAGTGGTGGCAAAAAGCTGTCATGCAAGGCAGTGTCCTAACAATCACAGGTAAATTAGGATTCTTTTTTTCTCAAGGATGCTCCAACTTGTGGACAGAAGTCAAAAGGAGCCGAGGATTTATCCAAAAATCCTGCGATCCACAGCAGCACCCACTGAGTGAGTATTCCATACAGACATGTTGCCCTGTTGTTCATATTTAAGCCACTGTTTGTTTAAATAATGTCAAATCTCTGCCCCCTTTCTCTATAAGTTACATGTTTTAATGTAGACTAGAGACACTCTTATTTTGAAAGCAGTCCAGCCTCTTTTCCGGGTTCCCTCTGGTTAATTCTGGCTCTTTCACACAGCCACAACCTGCTATGGTGCTTATTATTTCCCCCCCTTGTCACATGCTTGTTGCCTCAGCTGCTCCTGTCCATCTACATGGGAGGCTTTCAATGGTGGAGCCCCCACTACCCCCACTGTGTCCACCCCCCACCCCCCTGCCTTTATGCTGCTGCATGATGTGAGCCAGTGGAAGTCATCTGTGGCAATGTTGTCACAATTTGGACTGGGTCCCCAAACTGCAGGCATGGACAAGCAGGAGCAGAGCATGGCAGCCATGACACCTCTGACCAGGTAATCACAATGCTGCTGGTGGTCTGGAGAAGCAAACCTCCCCTCTACATCCACTCACTGTAAGATCTCATTTTATGGGATTGCGAGTGATCCGGTGATTTGGGGATGTTAATCTACGCTTTATAATCTACATGTTAATGATATAAAGAAAACCAAATCCTGCTGAAATATGAGGGGAACACTGGGAACCAACAACCAGTCACACTCACATCCTGTATGGGATTTGCCCTCTCGTTGCGTCTTTTCCCCCCACTTTCCCTTTCACACGCATAAATACATGCAAAGTGAGATGACATGCGGGCTCTGGGCAGTAAGGAGGCGTATCATATGGACTGGCAGCTGAGGATGTGAGACTAATCTGACAGGTGCAGGCTGAGAGAGTGACAGCATGGGAAGGGGGGGTGGAAGGGGAGGAGGAGGAGGAGGGGTCACTACTCGAAAACAGGACGACTAAGGAGATTAATGGCTCTCTCATTTTATCAGCAGACGAGCTCAGGCAATACATCATCAATACCATCCTTATTCTCATCGGCTTTGTGAGAGATTGTGTACCGAAAAGGCGATCATTAAACTATCACACAAAAGTCATCACAATAAATGGATTTGGAAGAACATCACTGGGCGGATAATGAGACAACAGGCTCACGAACAAAGAAACACAAAGGGCCCATGTATAGGTATATTTGTGCCTTTCTGTGTCGTTCTAGTCTCTGTAAAGGTCAATCTGTCTCTTTAGTGTACTTCTGCCTTTGTTGGTCCTTCTGTGTCTCTTTGTTGTCATTTTGTGTCTCTTTTAGGTTGGTACACGTTAAGTGACATTTCGCAGGTGACCTGGAGGGCCCCTGACACTTTGGGCCTCTGCGCCTGTGCTAGGTAGACCCATCCATGGTGTAGGATGACAGTGTATTTAAAGAGGACCTATGATTCTTTTTCCCATATTCTGTCTTATTAAATGTGGCCAAAGTTGTCAATAATTAAATGTAGGGCTATCAAAAAATAACAAGTTAATTTTGATTTATTTATCACAGAAAAATAACGCATTAGAGAATTAAAGGTGATTAATCGTGTTCTGTGGTGCCCTTTGACCCAGTGTGTTATTCAAGGCCACACAGGCTTTATCACATGATGGAGGTGGACAAGACAATGTTGCTTGGCTCTGGTAACAGAACATTTACATTTAAAAAATGACCAGATGGAACTGTTGATAGGACCACTGTTCTCTGCAATATCAGCAGTGAGGAAATTTCGTACCATCAGACCACCTAAAGCCTGAAATATCACCCCAACGCAAAGCATTTAGCAGCGAACCCAGAGGTCCGAGCTAGCACAGCCTCTGATGCTAGCAGTCAGCCTCGTCAAGCCACACTCGACCAGGTGTTCAGACGCAAACTCAGTATAGCCCCTTTTACAGTGCAAGATTTTCCGCGAATGTTGGGCCGTTTTGCCGGCAAGCTGTGAGTGTTTAGACACACAGAGCCGGATTGACAAGTTGATCCGAGGTGCCCAATTTTCCACCTCATAGGGTAGACATATTGGCGGAACCTTTTTAGTTTAAACAGACTGAGACCTTCTGCAACGGGAGGAGCTGTTGTTGACGCCGCATGTGCGACCCACTGGCAGTGGATAAATGGGAAACAGCTGATAGCAGGAATTAGCAAGCAGCTAGTAGCAAGAGGGAAACACAAACCTGATGTAAAGATGAGCAACTGGGGAGACAAGGAATTGCGCGCCCTCCTTGCCCTCGCAAACGAAGAGGCCAGTAACCCTCAGATGACGGGAAGGGTGAAGGACGGGCTAATTTACGAGAGAATCGCCAAAGGACTGACCAGCCGCGGTTTCCGTCCCACGTCACTGTTTAGGTCACATGCTGAGCTACACGTTGTGTTACTTGCTCACGCCCCCCATTGCCCCGAAAAAGGCGCATTCTGTATAAACAAAAGTAGGCAGGCGGCATTTTGCTGCACTCCCTGATTTTGTTTTTATACTGCCAATGCTGAAAAAAGACTGATTTGGCTTTCCTGCAAATTTGCACAATTCCTATCTAAAAAGGGCTATAGTCTACCTGTGATCAACTAACTCCCTTGCATCATGGATTGCAATGGACTGCAGACCAGTTTTGGTGGTAGAGGACAGGGGTACAGTCGTGTCCAAAATCCAGCAGCTTTACTACAACAATGTTAAAATACTTCAACAATAAAAACTGATGCAATTAACTTAGTTCAATTAATCACAAAGCATGTAATTAATTAGACTGATTTTTTTTAATCTCTTGACAGCCCTAATTAAAAGTTAAACCTAGGGTAAAAGTAATCCCTGTGAGCAAAAACTTCACGCTTCACACCGCTCCAATGGTTTTTCTACTTTTGAGAGAAGCTAACGTCAACTCATGATGGATTTTTTTACATAGTCATCTGCTCCAGGCACACTACTGCAAGTGTGTTCACATTACACACACTGCTACATGTGGCTACATGCTAACATCCGGGAAACATGGAATTTTGGTCAACTGTGTTAATGTCTTCCCAATTTCTGCTCATATTCCTGCTGCAATGTGATTTCATCTCTACTGGTCAAAGCCCCTGGTGTTTCTAAAATGACCTGAGGACAGCTTTTTGCATTGTGTTTTGATGCAGTAGGGGTTGGCAGTAGGAGGCATTCAGCGGTTAGGTTAAGGCACCAAAACTACTTGGTTACCATCAGGAAAAAATGCAGATGTTGCTAAAAAGAAAAAACATCTTTGAGTGGCATAAACACTGCAACTGTTTGTTGGTAACAAACTCCAGTCTCTTGGGTCAGAGTCCTTTTGCATTGTATCTTGACAGAGAAGAGTTTGGCAGTAAGAAGGACTCCACAGTTAGGCTTTGGCAACAAAACTCGTTGGTTATGGTTAGGAGAAAATTGCACGTCTCTAAAAAATGTCTGGCTTTGAGTGACAAAAATGTTGCATCTCCTGGGTCAATGTCCAGTATTTGTTGGACCTATCCACCTCCCCACTCATCTACAGTGAGCGGACTTTCATGCTCTTTAACTTACCTCTGTTGCTCTGAGCATTTAGTAATGACGTAGATGTGTTTACATTGGTGTTGGGACATTGCGCAAGCAGCGTATCTCACGCTCTTGGAGTGTGGCCAGAAGCTTTTCTTGGTGATTTTTAACTGTAGAAAGTCCGGCTATACTCTTGTTACAATCATTCCTCAGGCTGCAATGACAGTGCAGAGATGTAGAGTTACAGAAGACCTGGAAACACTGACCAGTCAGAGCTGACTGGCCTTTCGCGGGAAAGGGGGCTTACAGGGACAGGTGCTAAAATGGAGCACAGTATGAGGAAAATAAAGTATTTTTTCCCTTAAAGAGGTGTATTAACATACAGCTACTAAATGCGGTGCTTTGAGGATTAATTAGACATTTTGGGGAATAGGCTCTTTTGCTTTCTTGCTGAGAGTTAGATTAGTAGATTGATACCAGTCTTATGTCTGTTCGATATTCAGCAGGGGCCAGAATCTCCTTAGCTTAGCTTAACTTAGCTTAGTTTAGTTTAGCTTAGTTTAGCTTAGCTTAGCTTAACTTAGCATGAAGGCTAGAAATGGGATAACAGCTACCTGGGCTCAGTTCAAAGGTAATAAAATCGACCAGCACCTCTTAACCTTTATAAATAACATGTTAAAACCCTGTTGTTTCATCCATACAAAAAAACAAAGTGTAAAAAAACAATAATTTGCAGTGTAAGGGCCGGGCACAATAACTTAACAAAGACTCCTGGAAGTTACAGGTGCCAGTCAAGAAATAACCCACTGTAGAACTCAAACTAAACAAACCAGATATACCTGTAGTACTGAGTATTAGATGTGCTGGTAAGTGGATTTTGTCACCTTTGAACCAGTAAAGACCCAGCCCACCCCCTATCAGGAAGGAGAAACAGGACTATAAAGACTCGGACTAACAGACCGAGGAACAGCTTCTTCCCCAGAGCTGTAACCTGCATCACCCCCTCCTCCACAACACATGCACTCACACACATCGATCTATAGCTGCTGAGCTCTGATTGAGGACAAGCACTTTATCCTGTGCAATAATTTGATCTACAGTGCACTTTAAACCTGCTGCTGCCATTAGTTTTTGATTTGTAAGACACACTTAATATTT